CAGTGGCTTCTGCCTCCTTCCCAAGCCAGTTTCCCATTTGCTGCACACTAACTTTAGATGCATTCCTAGGGACAGTGAGTGACTTTAGACTTCTGCTAAGTGGTCTGGACTGGTAGCTAGTGACAGTGACATACCTTCTCATGAAGAAACACAAATAAACCCTTTAGGATTTGGTGAAAGTTTGGGGTGCCTGAATCCTACTTCTAACCTTCTAAATCAGAACATTCAAGGGGGAGGTCGGACACTTTTCAGACTGAGGTTCACATATATCTGTGGTCTCCTGGGTTTGAAATGCAGAACAGGAGATGGGCTCTATTGGGATATGGTGGACTCCACTCTGGAGTGAGAGGCATCCCGGTTCGAGACTGGGACTGGTTAAGACACCTGCCGGCAGGCTATGTTTTGGCTGGCACCTCAGGAACAGCTGTTTTTCCCTTTACTGGCTCTGGGGAAACTGAACTGTTTCTAGCCTCTCTGGTCATCGGATCACCTTGGTTGTCAGGACTGTGAACTTGAGGACAGAGTATATAGTTGAGGTCACACAACAGCAGACTAATTACAAGGTCAGCTGTCGGCAAACGCCAGGATGTAAAGGCACTGAAAACCCAGAGATCACAAAAGGACAGATGCTAATACTAAACAGACGATGCCTCTTGAGCCTATACCTACCTCTTGCTCTCCACAACAAATACAGAATCAGTCCTTGCAGGTAGAGCTTCAAGTCTTCACTTCAGGAAAAAAAGAAACTAAAGTTTTGGTCACCATGAGTAGTTTGGGATAGTGGCAAAAGCACTACCCAATAATCCTACCATCAAGTGAACACAGACTGTTCCATGAGAATTCTGTTAGTTTCTTCATTTTTGTGAATAGCGAGAGGCCTGGGAAAATGCTAAGATAGAATTCTTGCCTACAACCCTGAAGGTAAATGTTAAGGCAGTGAGAAGACACAGAAAATAGAGACAATGCTGAGTTGTAAGCCAGGCCTCTTTACTTAACAAATTAGAAGTTGAAGCCAGGCACATCTTTAATCCCAGCAGAGGCAGGCAGATCTCTGTTAGTTCAAGGTCAGCCTGGTCTACAAAGCAAGTTCAAAGATAGCTAGGACTGTTATGTGGAGAAATCCTGTCTCACAACCAACAAATACTCCTCCCCCTCAATAGAAGCCGGAGTGCCAAGCATTGTAATGTACCCCTTTAATCCCAGCATATGACATGCAGGGGCAGTCAGATCTCTGGGAGTCTGAGGCCAGTCTGGTCCATATGGTGATTTAGGGCTAGCCAGGGATACACACACAGAGGACTCTGTTTCAAAAAAAGGAAAAAAAGAAACAGAAGGGGGGGAGATGCTGGGGGGGAACATTTTATTTATATACTCGTGGATTCTTACTCTCGTCCCTGTTTATAAAAGTCCCACATAAGTCACATGTGGCAAAGCTGAATGGGACCCAGGCTTTAATGGCAAGAAGAGGCAATTCAATACTGGGGAATCTTAGAGAGCTAGCAGGCTAAGCAGGTACGGGGCAGACAAAAGCCTATGTAAACTGATGCTCTGTTTTTAAATGCTGTACTTAAATAGCCAGTCAACAGCTTTTACAACTTAGAAATATTAGAGTAATTTTGTGTCTTTTTTACCCTCATGAAGAATACATAACTTAATATATCAACAATAAGTCTAAATGTCTCACATCAAGCCACAAGGAACTGTTTAAGAATAGCTGAAGATTAATGTCAATGAGTGGATGACTAAGAAGAAAGGAAAAGCAAGGCTAAGGAACTTCCGGAAAATTTTCCTACCAGCAAAATCTATTAGTCTTTTGAACAGTACCCAAGGGACCTGTGAAAGCCCAACCTTATGAGTCATGTAAAAGTGGAGCGGACTACTGTAATGATTCCACCGGGGAAATCCTTGTACCGTGTCAGAAATGGACAAAGACTTAATGGTCGCTGTCCTGCTCCATGTCCAATACGTTCTCTGGACCTAACTGGAAGGCTAGAGAATGGAGCTGGCCCACCTGGAACTGCTACACTGGGCAGTGAGGACACTGTGAACTGATAACCCTTCTTCTAACAAGGTGAGCAGAATTGCGATCTCGAGGTTAGATTGTCTTCACAGGGAACCGAAGGGGCAGCCTTGTACCAGAGGATGATAGCTGTCAGAGATGAGGAAACCAGGTCCCTGCAGCTGATGTGCTGTGGCCTTTCAGGGGGCAGGTCAAGTGGCCCCTTTGATCATGGGCACTATCATTTCATGGCCCATGTGTGACCTACAGACTCTATTATCATTTCAGTAGCCTGGCGGTGATCCTGTCTCTCATTTTGCCATTACTGGTTCTCATTTTTCCTCACCACCTCAACTAGTATTTGTAGATGATGGACGTCTCTTCTTACACTCACCTGCTCCAAAAACAAACATCACTTAGTATATCTTGAAAACTTTTGTTTTGTTTTCATGGCAGGGTTTATCTTGAACTAGTTAAATTTACCATCATGATGTCCCTGGGCTTCAATGCTCTCAGCTGCACAATGGTGAAAGAAACCATTTCTATTACATCTCAGGGTGTCATAAAAACATGCAAGAGTGGATCTGAAGTGACCTTGAAATCCAAAAGCTTGAAGAGATGCAAGGGCTCATGTTTCATACTTCTTGGCTATTTCAGTGCTGTCTAAGCGATGGCAAGACTTTCATCTTTTTGATATTACTCTGTTGCCATCCACTTCCAAATAAGTGGATATAGAGCTGTGGAATATTAGAGACTCGAAACAGACTGGCTGCAAGTAATAAACTACATGGCAGGCTGGGAGTGAGTGCGAAGGAAGGTGGGTCTCTTATTCAATCATTAGTCTAGTGTCATGATTCTCCTAAGCGATGATCCTGAATCTGGGAAAAACAAAAGATGTACGATCACAAAAACCATCCAATTCACTGATGAGAGAAATCAAGGCTCAAGGTCAGAGACCTAGGAAGAGACAGAACATTGTTACAAACCCAGACCCATCTGCTATACTGTGCGGCATGTTATCTCGTTGCATGTTGACTTTTTTTTTATCCCGTGAATAGGAATTAATTACATGATGGGACTAAGTGTGATTCAACAAGATCTTTCCAGGCAAGGGTGGAGACAATGCTCTAAGGAACTTGGTGTTGAAACTTCAACAATACCAGAGATCACACTGTGGAAATAGGCGCCGGTGTCAGACGCCAATCTTGAAACACACACCTTGACACGGTGCCACGTCCACAAGGCTCCATTATCAGGTCAACCTATAAGTCCAAAGTGTTCAGGGAGTACTGCTATTAGAGGTCAGTTCAGGGAGTACTGCTACTGGAGGTCAGGGGCTTGTTAAGAGCTCATCGGAGGCCATTTGTGACAAATAACATGTACTAATTTACCAGCAGCATTACCTCTAGCAAGAGCTTTAAAGAAAAGAAACCCCAGCATATACTCAGTTATGCAAGTGCTTCTAGAAGCAAGTCACAGACAAAAGCAAACCATGAAGCTTTTGAAGACAACACAGGCTTTTAAATTTTGATCACATTTTCCCTACTTAATGTTACTGTTATTTTCCAGCTACCAGACAATAGCGACCCTCTCTTCAGATATTTACGGACTGTTGGAAATTTACACTAAGTGGTATTATTATAACTAGAGCAAACTGGGCTGTATGAAGACATGCTGTGTAACTCAAACACTAGATTTAATGGGTGAGAAGGTCAATTTTAGGGAGTTTGTCAGAAGAACCAAAGTTTCCAACAATTTATGTCTCTCCAAACCACGTACACCCAACTGTAAAGCAATTACGTGTCCTGTTGAAATTGTTAATTTGCTGTAGGGATATCATTAACTTTCTAAAGCACATAAATGAAGAGAAAATATGCATCCTATGAGTGTCACATTATGCAGTTATGAAGGGTCATGAAGCTTATGAAAGGAGTGAAATTACTTCCTAAATATGATTCAGTTTTGTGTGTGTGTCCCAGCTTGTGTTTGTTTGAAAGCAAATGGCCCTCATGGGAGTGGCACTATTAGGAGGTGTAGCTTAGTTGGAGTATGTGTGGCCTTGTTGAAAGAAGTATCACTACAGGAGCGGGCTTTGAGGTATAATATGCTCAAGTTATGCCCAGTGTCCCCAATGGCTCCTTTACTGCCTGTGGATGAAGATGTGTATCTCTCGGGCCCTTCTCCAGCACCATGTCTGCCTGCATGTCGCCATGCCCTGCCATGATGATAATGAACTAACCTCTGAAACTGTAAGCTAGCCCCAGTTAAATGTTTTCCTTTTTAAAAGTTTCCATAGTCATGGTGTCTCTTTACAGCCATAGACACCTTAATTAAGACATCACGTTAATGGGCTCTACCAACTGGTTGGGGAATGAATAGTGACTGAAGAGTAGATTTCTTTTATTTCTGCTAGACCTATTACTAATGGGCCTCAAGTTTGCTGGCTCTTCTTCCATGCTGGCTTTGAATAGTGGCTTAGAGATATGAGGTATTAACCATGAGGATATAATCATTAGAGTCATTAGAATACGTAAAGTTCAGAGCAATGAAGTTTATTTTAAATATATTTTTCTCCCTGCACATAAATAAATGCAGGGAGAGTTCAGGAGAGCATAACTCTTTCTTCTTGCACAGGGACTTGAACCCGGGGCTTGAGCATGTCAGGCAAACCCTCTACCAATAAGTTACAACTGCATTCTTTATTTACTTTTTACTTTGAGAGAGGCTCTCACGAAACTGTCCAGGCTGTCTGTCTGTCTGTCTGTGTCCCTGGACCTCCAGTAGGTAGGATCACATGCCTGAAGCACTAGGCCTAGCTAGAATCTGGACTCTTCTGACAGTGAAGTGGACAGAACTTAGGAGTTAACCAACTGATTAGAGAAATTCTTGATGAGGACGAGCTGAGGGTAGAAAATTTCCCCCGTGTTAGGTCCTTACCACTGCCCACTGCCCACTTGGCTCTCTGGTTTTCAGGTGTCCAGGCAGCATTTTGCACACCCACCTGTTTGGCATGGTTGACACAGTGCATGTACTGGCTGGCTAGAGCAGAGCAGCTGAGGGTCTGCTGGGTGTTCTGGCGGTAACACTGGAGGATTTTGGTCTGCAGATCTGCACAGACTGGATGATAGTCATACCGCCTGAAAACAAAACAAAGACTACTGAGAAAAGGCATCCTCATTTACTGTAAAGGTCAAGGTTAAAGATTATATAGGTCCTACAAATGACGCCAGTGCTCTTGCTCTACAGCCCGGTCTGGCAAGTTAGAAATCTGCCAGCCCCAGTTTCTCTCTGGCATACCCACAGCCAGCAGGTCGTGAAGCTCTGGCCCCTGCAGTATGGACTCCCATACTCACCGTTATTATAGAAATTACAAGTATTTACACTTCCTGGATCCAAGCAATGACCTCTGGTCTTTGTGTCTACAGCCCTGGCTCTCTCCCTGCCTCCACAGGTCACCCAGAGGGTTCTTTAAAATCCATGAATTCAAGTCACTCTCTATTGCTTCTTAAGTGAAGTACAAGGCTAACAGAGACATAGATCAGGCTCCTGCCCGACTTAAGCCCTTGTTAGACCCTGTACCTTGCTGCAGCCTGGGTAAATTACACTCAGAGTGAAGGGTCTCACATCTGTGGTCACGAACTGCCTGTGAGCTGCCGGGAGATGCTTGGCACCCACACCCTCACCTGTGCCCATGTAACTGAAAACTACCCACTTATCTTTCAATGTGAAACTGTTCTTTGAACACCTCTCACTGGTTTGCTGCTTCTACCTAGCACATCCCAACTTTCCCTCTGTCCATGTCAAGAAGTATACACAAGCCAAGTGCAATCCACCAACCTACATTTACCAGAGTGCAAAGTCCAAGGGACTATGTCTTCTTTTCTTCGTGACATTCACTATCCAATGCGAATACTTTTTGTAGAAGCCATACAATAAGCTTGTTGAATTAATAAAAATGGGTAAACATCCAAATATCCCCCAGGTTAGACTTTCACAATTATATTTACAGGTCTTAGTTGGATTGCTCTCAATGAATATGCCATGCCAAACATAAATGTTTCCACAAAGCTTATATATACACTTGAAAATAATAAGCCAAATGAATTATACAAACAGAAAATATTCTTGTTTGTATGATGGGAGAACTTGTGAGTTATAAACTAACCACACAGAGAGAAAATATGCAAAACAATCAATAATCTAGGAATTTGTATTTTTAAAATTAGCTTGTTTAATAAAAAATGCTTCCAGTCTTATCAGTTCTGTCTCTGAAATTTAAATTTGTTATTTCCATATAACCCTGAAGTAGCATTACTTTAAGTTTAATGGGCTCTAAACACAAAAGCCCCAGAGAACACAGGGGGATATTTCCCATCAATAAGTAAACCCTTGGGTGACAGTTTGTTTCCTCATTACTTTTACCCAACATGATAAGCTAATGTATGCTTTGCCAGAGTGGAAATGCAAACCTTGTGCCTGTCCCTGTGGGAAACTTCTTCCCACTACCTCAGAAAGGAAGTAGATATATATACAGGGGGAAAAATGATCCGCAGATTTTACCTAACACTGTTTTTACTTTTTCATTCATTACTCTACTACTTGGTCTAATACTTGAGAACAGAATTTAAGTCCAAATCCCAGGGGTTTAAATTCTTTTTAAGCCTTTGATGCTCTGCATATCTGTAGATTTTTCTGGATCCAAGCTTTCCTAATCCCCAACAAATGAACATCAGCATCAAAAGGAATCCAGCTATGATTCCAGAAGCACGGCCCAGAAAACCACTGACCAACTGACGACAGCAAGATTTGTGTCCGGATAAGTATTGAATGCAATATGATTAAGCATCAGGGCAGCTGCATGCAGCAAATACATAGATAACAGTGCTAATAATTCACACAGGAGAGCTGAGGGATCGAGCTTCTGCCCCAGAACTGACAGCACATCGAGTCTATGGGCAGAGGAAAGGTGGTGGGCAACAAAAATAGGCCTAAGCAGACCCTAGGTCCTTCACTAGTAACACAGAGGTAGCACGTGCAAGCACACTCACGCACAGGATATGCATACACACACTCGCTTATATATTTTCTCAAGACTACTGTAATAATAGTTTATTAATGCCACTCCCTCTTTAGAAAGCATCAGTGCAAGTCATACACAAGCACTGACCCTGAGTTGAGCCCTCAGTCATTCAGGTTCAAATCCACAAGTTATTTATGGTTTGAAGTGTATCAAAATATACTTTTATTACCACAAATCAATACCAGTACTCGCTTGCAAGCCCTTGATTTCCTGTCTGGTGGTCTGTTCTCTGTGTGGCCATCATCTGAAATCCTTTTTGTATACATTTAACCCATATTGATGACTAGATGCAGAGTGGGGGAGAGATCAGTGGAAATCAGCATAATTGGCTCCCAGTTCCTCTATAGACTCGCGCCCATTTCTCTTGGATTCATCTGAATGGTGCAGATCTGTTTCTGTATTGATCTGCAGGGCATGTTATGCTGTCCTAATGCACTGTTTTCACTCTGGAAGATGCTAAATGAGATTACCATCCAACATTAGAAGGCCATAAAGTACAAGCCATAGCACCTTCCATTCAGGAAAAGGGCTTCAAAGACATTTCCAATATGCATTATGAGAAGCCCTTCATATAATCATAGAGTCAGCAGTTGACTTTTATTGACTGCTTCCATGCTCGCTGAACCACTATTAGACAAAAATTAGAAAAGGCAGAATTCCAAGATATTTAGGTCAGAAAATTAAATCTTAGTTGAAAAGGACATTTAAACAATTTAAGAAAGGTTGAATGAAGGAATGATAAGTGACAAGATAAAAAGCAAGGTGAGTACAAATATGGAAAACACAGGAGAGCAGTAAGGGTGACAGCTATCCAAAAACCAGTTGAGCCAAAAGGAATTGTTAACAACAAAAACCGCTTCTTTTTGGCTTATGAAATCATTGAAAACTTAACAGAACCCATCTTCTTCTTTCATTTCCTTTATCTTTTTGGTTGTAGTTTTGTTTTTTGAGACAGGGTATCTTTATGCAGTCCTGGCTGTTCTGGAACTTACTATGTAGACCAGGCTGGCTTTGAACTCACAGAGATACATCCACCTGCCTCTGTCTCCTGAGTGCTGGAATTCACCCCGTCCATATCCTCAGTGCATGGCTGAGGGGCTGGAGAATGGACACAAGGGGAGGGCTGGAGCCCCAAACACAAGACCTAAGAACAAAACCCAGGAGAGTACTCTTCCTTCCTGTGGCACTGGGAGCCAGTAAGACTTTCCCTTTTTTACCAAATGCTTAATGGCAATATTAAAAAGCATCTAAGAAAATATATTCAGAGGCTTTTCTTATTACACTCACAACAAGTCCATGATTGATCCCTTGGGAAAAAGACCAGAAAGAAAGTCAGGCTGTTTCTAATTTCCCAAGGCTTCCAACCACCTGGTGATGAACATAACATTATCACTACCATGTCTGGTTGTTTCTTTAGGAGACTTTTGTAAAGGATGAATTAATTGGTCAAAGGGAGGAGAAACACTCTGGGTGAGGCCGAGGCTTATGTAAGCAGGACACAGAAGCCCCTAACACAGTGACACTTGGCTACCAGCTCTCTGGCTGTCGGGGCCTCATGGATGCCTCTCCTACATTCACATTTCAGAATCTTCTTTGATGTGAGTCAGAGCTTTAAATTTCAAAGAAACTACTTATCCATCTTTTTAGTTCTGCTAATATAAATGGCACATATAATACGGTAACTTCAGAGAAGGAAATACATGGAGGTAGCTCAGAAGACGTCATGTGGTGACAACCGGCGGTCAGAATTCTCAGAGCTCTGGGGAACACAAAAGTCATTCATTGTGAGTGCAGACACAAAGAGATTCGTTTCCTTGTATGTTAACCAGGAAGTACCCTGCGAGAGGTCTACAACACTAAGATGAAATACTACTGGGGGTGCACACAGGAGAGGACGAGGAAATATGAATTAATGAGCTACCCGATGCTAAAGGGAACACTCACTTTTTAACAGGATGCAACAATGCATCTTTTATGAGGTCAGATGTTTCATGTAACATGGCTGTGAAGAGAAACCTCCCATTCTTAAGGCACAGCCCAAAAGCTATCATTAAACCATACCAACTGTTCTTTAGATGTCACCCCAGTGGTCAATAGTGCTTCTTTTCTTTCAAAATGCAACACTAAGTATACGCCCGCTGCCAATACTTAAATGGTATGTTACTATCTTTTACCATTCATAATAAAGTCACTATAAAACTCAATGAAAAGAAAGGAATTAAAATACAGTTGTTGCCTTTTACATTTTCATTGTACTTTACCTTATAGTACCCTAATATTAATCTTCACAATAAAGTGTAAACAGCCTCTTCCTAATAATGCAAGATCCGAAAAACAAACTTAACTTCAAGCATATCTGGCATTTTTAATAACTGCTAATCATTTCATTAATGACGTCTCGGAGCTTTACTCAAATTTCCATAATTATATACTGGAGGCCAAATACTGCTAACAGATGCTTCCTTTGTTTTCACATACATCTTGTGATGCAATGTCTTGAAAACTTACAACTCACAACAACTCTCACTAATGCAATGTTAACTATTATGCTGCTGTCTATCATTACAACACAAAAATAGTCAGGAGTCTCTGCTGGCACAAGATCAAGTGGCATGGATCTGAACTACACCTGGATCAGCACTTGGATCAGCAGTTCTAAACCTCCCTAGTGCTATGACCCTTTAATAGATTCCTCAGGTTGTGGTGATACCCGACCATAAGATTATTTTCATAACTAATCTTACTAATGTTATGAATCATAATGTAAATAGTGTTTGACATACAGGTTTGCCAATGAGGATGAGAGTCACAGGTTGAGAACCACTTACTTCATTAGACAGATACAGTCGGCCTGGGTGTCCTAAGAGAAACAGCCACGGCTGGGTGTACACAGGAGACACTCAGCCTTTCACATCTGGGAACTTAACCAATACCAGGGAGAAAATATTTTGGAGAAAAAATGCAACCCACCTGGCTAAGCTAAGTGCTGCCACACACCTACAGTTCCAGCACTCGGGAGGCAGAGGAGTGGGCGGGGATGTCAGTCAGGGTTATGGA